CTTCTCTTTACTTACCTTATTCTCTAAATGTTGTGCAATTACCATCAGTCATTTTCGTAATAAAAAATAGTTACCATGAACAGAGTTGGTGTCTTTCATTTAACACTGCCTGCAGGCACAACCAGGCCAGTGGTCATGCAAATTAAGTTAATTGTAATAAAGCCGCTTGGAAGTTTCAAGGTAGTTAGTTAAACAAAATAATTAAACTCCTAATGAAATTTCACAGAGCTGGTCACCAAGCTTTGACTTAGCTGCTGTAAGGCTGCTATAAATAGATCCCATTCTCTACTTTTTCAAAAGGCCTAAAAATGGCATAAAATATGAACAGTTGTTCATGCAAAGGGCCATGTGTCATGTTTGTCCTAAGCAAATGTAACCTGAAACTCACCCATATCTCACACACTCCAGGTTGGCTGCACATCTCTGGTGTATTTGCTCCACATTACTCAATTTACTTTCCTGAACTTGAAGTGGAGTGGAATTTCAATGTAGAGTTACCCATTAGTTCCAGGGCTAAATTTAAACCTTTAATTAAGTTAATCCCTTGATCTTAAGCACATTGCTTCTCCTTCAGAAAAGTGTAGAGAGGTGTCTTAGATGTCGCAGCGCATAATAAAGTGTGACAATTGTTCCTTACTACATTTGGTAAGTCACCCAAACCACACAGGGAAACCAGTACACATTTTTTCAGACGGCTCCTGGGGCCCCCATGGCCTCCCCCCCCCCCCCCGCCCCCAGCCAACACAGGCGTTTGTTGGGGCTAGGGCCCCGAGGTACAGCGTTCCCTGACTCCTCCCAGGTCCAGAGTTGCTGCTCTGGAACAGTCATCGAATCCTTGGGCAGGTACCCATCTTAAGAGAAGACATGGTAGGTGCCAAACGGATGTTTATGAAATAAATGACAGAAAGTAACCATCCATATTGTTCCCAGTTTATATGGGATAAAAAGAGATCATAATCCACGAAATGTGCAGGATGACAAGGGGGAAAGGGTGTGAGGCCATCACAGCTTTATTTTGGTCTTCACAGAGTAAAAATTGACGTTGGCCTTTGCTAAGAGAGAGATGAAAAGTGACAGCGCCATCAAATGGGGATGTGTAAATTAGTCGGCCCAAACAGAAGATGTTCAAGTGAGCCTGGGCTCTTATGCACCGAGGGTGTACATTTATCTCAGGGTCTGCACCCTCGGCCTGCGAATGAATGAGACACAAACTGAGTGGTTAAGGGACAGCTTTAAGGTGGGACTATCCACATAGGGGTTGTGGACCTGCCTGTGTAACTATAAATAAGGACCTATTTCTCGGGGCCCAACGGCTGCGCGGGGTCCAGTTAACAAGCTCCTGGGCCAAATCTCAGCGTCCCTCCGAGTAACTATCCTGCAGACCCACAACTCTCCCGGGACCACATCCTCAAACCGCGACTCCGGGGTTCAGCTCGCACCCCCAATTCCCAGTGCGGGCGCGGCGGCGAAACGTGCTCGCCTCCCTTAGCTGGCTCCCGCGCGCCCTAGGAGCCACAAACTCCCCGCAGGAAGCTCGGGCTACCTGGACCGCCCGCAGATCCCCCGCCCCGCCACCCGCTCGGCTTTCCCTTCCTCCTCCTCTTCCTCCTCCCCGGGCCCCTAGCCTCCCGCCGCCTGCCTCCGCGGCCGCCGCCTGCGGCTTTGTTTTCCTCCCAGGTTTCATTCCCCACACGTGATACTGTGTTATTGCAAAGAGCGCTTCGGAGCGCGAGCGCAGGGCGCGCGCACCTATAAATACGGACTCCCGAGCCGGGCGGCAGGAGATCGCAGGGGCGGGGAGGGCCCGGGGCCAAGTGATCGGCGGCCGGCCGGCCAGCGAGCCAGCTAGCCAGCTAGCCGCGCGCGTGGGCCGGGGCGGCGGCGTCCCCAGCCGCAGCACCCAGGGGCGAGCATGGCCCGCCCGCGGGGGGGCCGGGCCGCCGCGCACGCCGCCCGCGCCCCGCGCCCTGCCCAGCCCGGGTCACCGGCGCTCGCGCTCGCCGCTTAGCACTCGGGCGCCGCTCGCTTCTCCGGGCATCGCGGAAATATCGCCGCAGACGGACACAATGGCGGCGACTGCCGCCACCACGGCCACCACCGCCGGCACGGCCGCCTGCAGCAGCAGCAGCCGCGCCGGCACCGACGCCGCGGGCACCCGCGGATCGCAGCCGCCGCCGCAGCACCCCCAGCCCGCGGCCGCCGCGCCGGCCCGGCCGCCGCCGCCCGAGCCCCCCCGGAAGCCGCGCATGGACCCACGGCGCCGCCAGGCTGCTCTCTCCTTCCTCACCAACATCTCGCTGGACGGACGGCCGCCGCTGCAGGACGAGGAGTGGGGCGGCGGCGAGGAGAGCGGCGCGGCCAAGCCGGGAGCCGGCAGCGCCTGCGGCGCGAGGACTCGGCTCAGCCTGCTCGCCGCCGCCGAGCGGGGCGGCTGCAACGCGCTCGCCGCGGCGGGCACGGCGGCGGCGGTAGCAGCTGGATGGGGACCCTGCCTCCCGCAGCCCTCGCCGCTGCCACTCCTGGCCCCCGGCGGCCACGCTGCGGGGCTCGGGCTCGGGGCGACTCGGGGCTTCGTGAGCCCCCTGGGCGCGGGCCGGGCGTCGGGGGAGCAGTTACAGCCGCCCCGGCCGGCGCCTCTCGCCTCCTGCGCTCCGCCGCAGCTGCCCGACCGGCCCGGGAACGCCGGGCAGGAGGAGCTGGAGGAGGACGATGCCTTTTCCAGCGTGCAGGTGCCGGCGGCCGCCTTTCTGGGCTCCGGGACCCCCGGGAGTGGGAGCGGCAGTCGGGGTCGCCTCAACTCGTTCACTCAGGGAATCCTGCCCATCGCCTTCTCCAGGCAGGCTTCGCAGAACTACTGCTCCCTGGAGCAGCCAGGCCAGGGGGCCAGCACCAGCGCCTTGGAACAGTTGCAGAGGTCCCGGTGAGTATGCAGGACGCGACGAGCGCCTAACCCCCACGTCCCTCCCGGCCGGCTCCTGGCTGCGGGACACGGTCGCTCCCTCCTTCCGGCGCTTTGCCGGATCCCTGGGCTTCTGGCCCAAATCCCAAAGCACGAGGGCACGCGAAAGAGGGAGTCCCCAGGGAGTGTGTGTTCTCAGGTGCGCGCGTGAGCCTGGCACTCGCAGAGCAGAAGCATCACGCTCATGCTGAGAGTCGGGAGTTGCGGGAGCCCATTAAACAGCCGCACCCAAACCTCCCATTGCAAGGAGGACATCACGAACTTCTAGAAACCCTGTCCAGACCCAGAGGCGCGCTCTCCCCACGCCAGGCAAGACTTGGCGGGGCGCAAAGTCCAGCAGTGGGTCCGGCTGGTGGCTGAGTGGCGCGGGTGAGCCTGAGCTTCTTGAAGACGCGCGGTGAATCCCTCCTGAGAGGAGTTATTGCCTTGCACTCAAAGTAGTCCCGTGTCCCAGGAAAACTTGGCGTTTTCCTTTTGCTTTCCTAAGAAATGGAAAATCCGTACATTTCCTCGCACCGGGTCTTGGAGTTTGGGGACAGGGAGGAAATAGGGCTTGAGGATTTTTTTCTCCAAGATGAATTTGCTAGAGTTAGTTACAAGCTTGAATTTGCCAGCTTAAGTAATCTGCAGGTTTTAGGCATCTTAGCAAAAATCTGAAATGTTGGAAATTTGCTTATTGTGAAGGAAAAAGCTGGAGTTTGTCAACATATGTTCAGAGGACAGTTGGGAATTAGGACTGTGTCAGCAGTGGGAACAGAGTTTGGAGAAGAACCTGCCTGGGGAGCAGTGGAGAAATGGAGGCCTGTTTCCTGGGAGGGAGTATCCTCCCTTGTTAGCTAATGAGGTCCCCTATGAAGTTATAGCAGGGGCTCCACCTTGGCTCAGTTATTTTAACCTTAGGGGGGCCCGATTTCCCCTTTTGAAATGGAAACATTTTGCAGGCCTCAAGATGAGAGAGGAAAACATTTTCTGTTCCAGTCTCTCTCCTGTACTGCTCTTTTGAAAGCTCAGGCATTTTTTTCTGGCTTAAGAAAGAAGGTGGGCTATTGGAAAAATTCACTTCCTCCCCCAACAGGCAGATGGGGAAAAACAAGCCAGGCTCATCCAGAAATTTGCTCCTTCTTCCCCAAAGGATGAAATCATGACCCTGCCTAGGTGTTTAGCCTCACGGTGTGATTGTGCATGGGCTGCAGGGAGGGGTGTGGAACAGGGAGGCAGCCTCGTGATTGCATGGATGAATTAGCGATGCTGGGCACAGGTGACCGCCTGGCCCTGGCATTTCCTGTCCAAGCACGCATCTTCCCATCAGCGGGCAAGTGCACAGGAGGGGAATCCCTTCCTTTCTGGGCGATTGGTGCATACTCAGCAGTTTCTGGGCAGCTCGCTGTTACCGCTTGACATCACACACTGGCTCATAACGACTCTATAGTTTGAGCGTTAGCCTAGCCAGGCCAGAGGGTCATGACAGGAATTGTAATACACGTACATGTTGTTCTAAGCCAGTGTGCAAGGCTGGCCTGTGTCTCACGGTAGACAAATGTGTTCCTGTGCTAAAAGCAGCTGGGGATCAGATTACCCCACACTTTTTCTCCAAGAATCTCATTGCAGGGGATGTGGAAAATCTTCCATGTTACTATCTCTTTCTTTTCTTTTAAGATTTTATTTTATTTTTTAAGATTTTATTTATTTGACAGAGTACAAGCAGGGGGAGCGGCAGACAGAGGGAGAGGGAGAAGCAGGCTCCCCACTGAGCAGGGAGCCCGACGACGCAGGGCTCAATCCCAGGACCCTGGGATCATGACCCGAGCCAAAGGCATACACTTAACCAACTGAGCCACCCAGGTGCCCCTAAGATTTTATTTTTAAGTCCTCTCTACACCCAACATGGTGCTGGAACTTAGAATCCTGAGATCAAGAGTCGCATGGTCCATCAACTGAGCCAGCCAGGCTCCCCTGTGTTAGTATTTCTGATCCAAAGAATAGCCACAATTTAATTTCCAGTCCCGTAAATATGAACCCTTTGGATGTTCTATGGATCCCCCAGCACGCATGTTAGGATGAGTCAGTCAAGAGAAAATGCTTCCTGACAGTCACATTTGCCTTACTACTTAGTGATTATCCATATCTGGCAACTTGATGGCGTTTTTTTATAGCTGTCAATAGAAACAGCATGAAATTTAATGTATGGAGAGGAGGTAAATGGGTAAAAAGGGATTTAGGAAAGGCCTTGAAGAGTCTAGCTTGGCCACAGCTGTTGGAGTGGTCATGAACTTGAAATACTCTAGGATGCTTTGTTTCTGACACCACACTGCTTTGAGCGTGCTTTTATGACCACTAACGAGTACTTTTACCTGCATAAACTGTGTGGTGTAGAGTAGAAACTCATTTGAATAGGGCCCAGGGGCAATTTACGAGAACACCATTGGCTTTCCCTGGTGTGCCTCCCTTTAAGAAACCCCGCTAGCCAGAGTGGTTCCATATGCTACTTCACGGGTGTTCTCTTGGGATGTCCTTTTTAAATCAAATTATACCTTCCTTGGATGTATCTCTTACTATTTAAGGAATTCCATAGAACCTCGCTGCTCAAAAGTGTGGGCTCTGGGAACTTGAGCTTCACCAGAGTTCTTAGAAATGAACACTCTCCGGTCCTACTCCAGGTTGCGTGCAAATCTGCATTTTAACAAGATCCCCAGGTGATTCATACACAAATGAAAGTTTGCAAGGCATTGCCATAGTTAACCTGAAATCTGCCTTTATAATGAACTTGAGTTATCCTATATTGGGTTTGTTATGAATATATAAAAATCAGAATTTCTCAGTCTGAAACCGTGAAACACTTTCTTGTGTGTTATTTCCGTCTGGACACCTGTAAAACCAATCGCAATCATTGCTCGGACTTCCAGACTTTGAAATACAACAGAGGAAAATTTCTGTGCCCAGGGCTGGACATTTGACCTCTATTTCGTTGAATCTGTACAGCCACCCTGTGTGTAGGTAGGTGGTTTCACAGACCAGTGTTGGCCCAGATGGGAACCCGGATCTTTGACATCCCCCAAGGCTGCCATCTTTTCTTCCCTCACTCAACTATACACTTATGCCTTGCATGGGGTAGGCCCTAGAACAATTTTGGAGCTGTGGACTGGAAATGTTTGTCTGGGATGCAGCAGGCCAGTCATACTGGTGTGATTCTCTACTCTTGAGTCATCTCTCCTCCCCCCCCATTTAACCTTTGGGCCCCTGGCTGCTTCTGCTCACGTCTCCATCGGAGCCTCTGGGGAACCCAGTCCTGTGGGCCTGGGCATCTTCCCAGCCTGCTGGACAGGGCTCCTGCCCTGGGAAGCCATCATGCTGGGGTTTGCTCTCTGGCTAGGTGTCAGAGGTGGGAAGCCAAGAAGATGCCTTCTAGCTTGACACCTTGCTGTGTGTCGCGCTTGGGCGGGGCCAGCTGTGTGCCGAAGGTGTTAATAGGTGAAAGGGAGTGTAAATTTATAAGGTGTGTTTTAAGGCTTCCTTTCACTTTAAAAATTTCATCTCCGGCAGCAGGGGCAGCTGCCCTGGGCCACTCCACTTCCTTGAGCTTCTGAATCGCAGGCAGCCGCCCAGAAGCACTGAGTCGAGCCCGGGTGAACCAATGTGAGCCGTCAGGCCTGACTGAGGACCCTGCACGGTGACCAGGGAATTAATTAAAAAACAGAACAACACGAGGGCTTTGCTTCTTAGAGCACCTGCATTAGCATCGTGCCTTATGGATGGAGAGTTAGTTCATACATGGAAAGAGGGCCTGTGGGTGCAAAAGAACTCCCAAGTCTTGGGTTCAAATTCTGAAGCCACTGCAGGACCCTGAGCAAGTCAATCAGCCTTTCTGGGTCTGATTCCTCTAGGAAGCCGGGGCCTGTGTCAAGTGTGAATTGGGCTTATGTAATTGAGGGCTGAGGGCTGCCTCTGCGTGGGCATGTTCCAAATGCTTTATATCCGGGCTTCTTAAATGTAAATATCTTTAGAATCCCCTAGGACCTTGAAAGAATGGGAAAATTCTGATCATGCAGGTCTGGGAGAGCCTCGAATCTGCATTTCTAACAGCTACAGTGGGATGCAAATGGGCAGCCTTTTGAGAAGGAAGGCTTTACTGGCTACTGTGACTGTTCTGGGAAACCTGGTCAGAGTTGTTAATTAATGTGCTCAAGGTCACTCAGCCCGTTGGGGCAGAGCTCGGGCTGCTTTAGAGCTTCTAACCACCCCTCCCTCTGCCTTGGGCCTACTGGGGTGAATGTCCAGGTGCTGTATCCGTAGTCCCTGCCTTCAGTGAAAAGAAAAAGGAAGTTATGTGGGCTGACCAGGAGATTGACAGCCAGAGTAAGAGAAGGGAGATGGACGTTTTTCCTCAACTTTGTTACCTCCTTGCTTTGTGACCTCAGGCAAGTCACCACCCCATGTTCCTGTTGTAAGCCACCTGACCCGTCTGGATTTTAGAAATCCGGACAGGACTTTGATCTCCTCCAGCAATAAGCAAACCCAGGTTATTGTTAAGCCATCTTTCCAGCAACATGAATGACAGAGGGCAAAGCTGCCGTCCCAAGCAGCTGGGACCAGGGCCCTGGTCAGGACGCTTGCCCAAGACTCGGCAGAGGCCATGCCCTGCCGGAGACTGAGGTCAGTGGCCCGGGGTTCACCCGCTGCCCTCCCCTTTGCACCCACAAAGCCTGTAATGTTGTGGGCGAACTCAGAAGGGGATATAAATTGGAAGCCTGCTCACTGCTGGCAAGTGCCCAGAAAGGGCAGCTAGTTCAAGTCTGACCTTTTGCCCTGTGGACAGCGGGTGGGGGAGCCGCAGCATGGCTATGTACCCTGTCCCCACAGCTTGCCTGGGGGGCTCTGCTTGCATGGACTTGTTCCCATGGGAAGGAGAGCTGTTAGGGGGGGAGAGGGGTCTGGGGCAGGTGGCCTTTAAAGCACACTGGGAA